TGGTTGGTGGCCTGAAGTGAATGTTTGTTGTGATTGTTGTTGGTGCTATTGTTGTTGTTGTTGTTGTTGTTGTAGGGGGCGGTGCTGTGCTTGTTGGTTGAGTGGTTAGACTGATAATGACTGCTGTTAGTTTTGTGACTCGAATCGCTAGCTGGTACTTTGCCTGGTACGTCAGGACTAGATTTGCTACGAGTGGTTGAGTGATGTTTGGATGTTGATACATGATTACATGATGATGTGGATGTTGATGTAGACGATGATGAAGATGTTGTTGTCGTCGTAGTTGTAGTTGACAAAGGCATATTGCTAGAAACAGTTTTTAAGTTATGACTAAAAACAATCTGGCTTCTTTTTATGAGCTTCAGTAATAAAAGCTTCGACTCTTCACTTTTCAGTTCATTCTTCAACATTTTCAACGTTTTATTCTTATCTTGCTCACTTCTAAACATCAACCTCCTTTCTTTCTTTTCTTTGAAACTGTTGTTACTGTTGTTGATGGCGTTATTGTTGCTAGTGTTAGCAACATTGTTGCTACTGCTGAGACTGCTGTTATTTAAACAGCTGTCAACATTATTTTTGTTATGCTTTTTATCATCGGTAGACTGAGTTCTCCTGCTCAGATCTATGGGTAGTGAATCAGATTTAGTGGCAGATGAAGAGGACGATTGAGATGTTGAAGATGATTTAGAGAACGTTGGATTCGATGAATTCATTGCATTCAAATTTTTGAAATCAGGAAATTTTTTCGATAGGTTGAGGGCAAATTCAGAAGTTTGCTCTTGAAACATTCTAGCCAAATCATTCATTCCAGGAAAGTTCGGGAGAAATTGTGAATACAAGAGCTCGTCGGCCATTGGATTGAAAGGTTTCTTCGAACTGTTTAGACCATTGTTGGTGCTGTTGCTTGGGGCTGTCAAGCCAGAATGAAACATGAAAGCATACGGGTCAAGGAATGAGGAGTAGAGGGATGATGGTGTTGATGCAAGGGACGAGGAGGAGGCAGCCAGGAGAGCAGGATCCATGTGCACTCTGTCAATTGTCAGAACATTTTAAACTTAAAAATACAATGCAAGAACAATAAAATTTTCAGTTATCTTTTTCAAAAAAATATATTTTTCTTTCTTTAATTTAACTGATGAAATTTTACAGCTCTAACAAAAAAAAACATCCGACTGATTTTCTCAACGGGCCACCTGGATGCCTATGAATCACAGATAAATATTAAAAAATGATGATTAAAAACTTAATCTTCTAACTGATCAGGCAGAACATCAGTGATATATTATCAAACTTGATAGAATCAAAAATAAATTATTGAATCCTGGATAGAAATTATTAAAGTTTAGTGTTTCGCAAAAACTAAAAAAGGCCAAACAAACTTTTTGTGGTTGAACTGGTTCTCGAAGTCAAAATAACTAAAGTCCTCTCTGGATCTCTTGTTGCTAGCATTATTATTATTGTTGTTGTTGTAAGTTTTAGTTTTGTAATCCTGCCATTCCATTTTCGATTCTGATTCAATGAAATGAAATAACAGAAATTTCACAAACACTAATTAATATTGAATTGAACATCAAATAGTGATAGAAATGGGTTAAAAAAAATTTCTTAATATCATAATCAACTGACAATGAGTAATATGTAATTAATAGTAAGTAGAAAGAAAGCCTTCAAAACTTCAATTTAACATTTTCTTCAATAAAAACAAATTCATTAATATTCATGTAATGATTAATCATTAATATTTTAATGATTAAAAAATCATTGACAAGTTTTAAATTACATAATTAAAAAATATTATAACAAATTAGGTCATTTGTTTGATGACAAAAGAAAAGATTTAACCCACTGATTCATTGATTGACAATCAATCAGAAAACAAGTTAACAAGATACATCATGTAATTTAGAGTTTTCCAACCAGAAAATTCTTTTCAATTATTCATTAAATAACAAATAAAATATTTAAAAAATAAATGATATTAATACAAAAGTTAATTCAGGTTCAATTCATTCATTTAATTGTGAAATTATGAATTTAATAAATTTTTTTAAATTAAATAAAAACCGACCTTGAAGAGACGACAGGACGAAATGCTCATAAATCAAACATCCGACTTCTCGTTCAATTTGTTTTTATTTTACAAAATAAATAAAAAAAAATCAAATCCCCATTCACTAATCTTTCGACACTAATCACGGACGACTGACGGCTAAATAGTTAAACTTACCTCTAAAGTTTAATTATAAAAATAAAATAGAAAAATATTTAACAAAAATTCAATCAAAAATGGCAAAATTAATCCAGTCCTGAATACCCCACGCACACGTCAATTCAGCTATTTTATTGTCAAAAATGTCTAATTATATTATTAATATTTAATCATTAAACTTATTAAAATACTAATTTTGTATTTTTTTGTATTTTCTCGTATACAAGCACACACAAATACATATAATAGGTATATATAAATACACACAAACACGTACGCCAATACCTAATAATACATAACTAGGTGAAGTAACAAAATGGCCGGACCAATGTTTTGTATGTGTATGTATGTTTGTATGTTAGTATGTTTGTATGTATGTATGTTTGTTTGTTTGTTTATTTGTATGTATGCGTATGTATGTATATGTACGCATGTGTATGTTTGTATGTATTTTTATGTATGTTTGTATGTATATGTATGTAAGCATGCATGTATGTATATATGTAAATGTATGTGCATGAATGTATGTATATGTATGCATGTATGGATGTGTATATATGTATATGTATGTATGCCTGTACGTTTGTATATGTGTTTGTTTGTATGCGTGCAATACATGCATATGTGTGTCTGCTGATGTGATGTGCATATGTACATAAATGTATTGTATACATACAAATACATACATATATATATATATATGTGTGTGTGTGTGTGTGTGTGTGTGTGTGTGTGTGCGCGCGTCTGTGTGCGTATATGTGAAGATGAACGAGTGTATTTTCATGGCGGTTATGTATACGTGAATTGAAATGGGCATGTCATATCTATTATGATAACCTAGGCATATAATTTTCTAAAAATTCTCAATAATTATTCAATCATTTATTTATTATTATTAACACGTAAAATAAAAAAAAATTGAAAATATTTTTTGGATGCTGCTTGGATGCATGATGAACTTGAATATTATGGATGGTTAAGTATATAAACATCGTTTACTTAAAAAACATAAAAAACGTAAGCACATACACACACACACAAACACACACAAACACACACACGCACATACACACACACTAACACACACAAATACATACACACACGCACGCATAAATGATATAATTACGTTACACTTTGACTCTATAGCAAGCTGTTTAATATTGGAGTTTTCACTAAAGAAGAATCCAACTTGGTGTATCGCAACATTTGACTGATGATGAATACAATTAATGAAACGCTTGTATTGTACGTCTGTTTTACGTGTACAATTAACGTACGCATACTATATACATTCGTGTGTGCTTGTGTGTACAAGAAGTGTGCGTGTGTGTGTGTGTGTGTGCGTGCGTATGTGATATACATATAATAATGTTTCAAATAGCACACATATACAATTGATAATATGTGTACCGCATGTGTTTGCACGGTAGTATGTGAAATGTTTTGTATTATCTTTTTGGGGGGTTTATTTATAAGAGGTAGCCTATATAACAGCTATATATTTTATTATTGATGTAATTTGTATTAATTGTAATTATTTGTAGTTAATAATTAATAATAATTAATTGTAATTATTGTAATTACTTGATTAATTATTGTTAACTATCTAGCTATCTAGAATTATTTAGCCGGCTCGTATAAACTGTTAATGTGCTAATTTTTCAATTAATTAAGTTTTACCATATAATATTATTAATTCATAATCAAAATTCAATGAAATGAAAACTCTACCATTTACAATTAAATTATTGATTCACTTATCTACCTACCTACCCTACCTACCTACCTACCTACCTACCTACCTACCTACCTAGTAGACATGCATAGTTTTCAATGAATAACACTTGAGTAAGAGACGTAAATTATGAATGTGCAGAAAATTCAAAATTTGTGTTAAGACTTCTTGAAAATATTTTCAACTCAAACTTTTTGTGAGAGTAGCGACCAGAGCTCCCCCAGGGCCTCCTTTTGCAGGACCCTAAAATTGAAATGTAAATGTTAGATAGAGGTAGGTAAGTAGGTTGGTAGGTAGGTAGGTAGGTAGGTAGGTAGGTAGGTAGGTAGGTAGGTAGGTAGGCAGGTAGGTAGGTAGGTAGGTAGGTTGGTGGTAAGCAGGTAGGTAGAGAGGCCGAAAGTAGCGAGTGTAGAACTTGATAGACAAACAGACAAACATGTTCCGCTTGCATTCCTCTAAGGTGAAAATTTTTTAGACAAGAGAAGTTTAATCTTTTATACAATCTTCTCGTTCAGTGAACCCAAGTCATTTTTATAAACATAGATGCCTGCTTTTTCTTGTCAAAATTTTATTTTTTTTATTTTTGTGTGTAACACTTTCAAAGTTAATACATACAAATGCTATAATTTATTTAAACTATAAACGTGCGCAAGGCTCATAGTAGTTTGCCTTACACCACTGCACGCACGAACAAAAGCAAACACACGCAAACACACACAAACAAACGAACAAAAATATACACACATAGAAGAACGAGAACATTAGCACTAACGTATTAACACTTGGTTATTTATAGTTCTAAAATCATTTACAACTTGAAAACAAGCAACTCATCATCATATTCACACGCCTATATGCCTATTAAACAATCAAATATAATACCCAACATACAAATACTTGTGTGTGTGTGTGTGTGTGTGTGTGTGTGCCTGTGTGTGTGTGAGTGTGTACATACATATGTATAAAAGTTTAAACGTAAAGCCACGTACACAGATACACAACACACGTAACCAGTACCAATGTTTAAAATCAAAAACCTTTGAAATCGGCAAGGCTTGCTTATTAATCACCGCGTATGTATTGAAGAATAAATACTAAATAACACATGCAAAATGCCATACACAAAGATATAAACAAAAATATACAAAAATATAAACAAAAATATACAAAAATATATACAAGTATATACAAAATATATACAAATATATACAAAAATATATACAAATATATACAAACATTTCTGCACGTACGAAAAGCAACTACATCCCAAATTATGAAATGTTTAAAATTTCAAAAACTTCAAAAAGAACTTCGAAAAACAGCAATTTAGAAAAACTCAATGGCATGTGTTGATCGTAAGCGTTTGGATGTTAATTAATAAATGTACAAGCCTGTGATTCATTCAAATGTTCTTTGGTTTAATGACTCATTCATGCATTTTTCAAACTTCAAATCTATTTTCTAAAAGATTAGGAGTTAATAAGAAAATGATTTATCTCAAATTTTCTTGGTTTCATTCTTACATAATTTAAATGCAAATTTTTTTTACATAAATTCAAATTTCAAGTAATTGAAGTTTCTCTACAGAAAAAAATTATAATAAATTTGGCTCAGGGGAATTTTTGTCAAACGATAAGACGGCAAAAAATAAATGAGAAGGAGGAAACAAGAAAGACAGTCCTACACCATTCCCAATATTTATTTCTCCTTAAGGTTCAACTATATCAGATCTAGTGCACGTGTGCCGCCACCATCTTTATTCAGCTCCAACTAATCAGACATTCGGAGAATCCTGAAATACTGCAAGACCACGATAAGATGATGACGCAATTACAACATGACAACATGATAGTAACAGAGTAACATGACAACATTGGTGTTTTGATTTAGCGGTGCATCAAGTCAAAAGAAAGATTTTACATACAACAGATCCAAAAAACGCCAAGCTAGTCAGTTGCTTGGATCTTCAAGCGCTCGGCATGTTTAAGACGGCAATACATTTATAAAATCACATTCTACAATTTTCGAGAACACCAATCACAGTACTATACACACCCACACACACACACACACACCCACACATACACACAAGTGCATCTTGTTGTGTATAGAGTAACATAACAGCAACATAACTGCAGGTAAATATGGAAAAGATAAATTGATGATAATTTCAATGTTAATTTGAAAATTATCCGCTTTTTTAAACACAAGTTGCTACACGTGTTAGTTGGAAAACTTTATTAATTATGATCATTAACCTTTGAATGTGCAGTTTTATTTTAAAATACCCAATGACCCCATTCTTCTTTTTTGTACTGAAGAATTTTGTCTTTATTGCTAAGTAATACTTTCGTTTTTATTCAGTTTACATTTAATTTAAATTAATTTAATTGAAATGCAGTCGAACAGGGGCTGGCTGGCTTTTACATCCAGACGACACTACGCAGGCACATATTGAAACATTTGGTGCGGACGTCAAAGTTGTATCGGCTTGGCGATAATTATTTTCACTTGATGTTGATTTTTGGCATATTTATGTTAATATTGTTAGACTGGAGAGATGTGAGTTGTACAAATGTGAGTTGTACAGATGAATCTCAGTCAAACGCAAATAACAATGCAATTGTTATTGGTTTGCCACATCGTAAGCACGAAATTTATATATTTTTTCATTATGATTTATATTTTTAAATTCAGAATTTTTTTTAAATTTTGCTCTTGAGAAACTTCGCAGTCTAAAACTACAAATCTATTTTCGTATAATACCATCGTCTACATGAAGAATTCGTGTTTAATAATTTGAAGGTATAACTGACTTTCGTCACGTCAATTAGCTCAATTACTTCTTACTTCTTACACACAAACACACACACAAACAAAACACACACACTACTTCTTAATGTGCTGCCTTCGCCTACAGTCACACACATACCATACAACGTATGCTATAAACCATTGTGTACATAATAGTGTATCACACACACCACACACACACATACACACACACATACACACCACACACACACACATTTGTTTTTAGCAAATATACATAAGTTGTAATGTATTGTTGATTACTTATACAAACATTATACATACAAACAGACAATATACTATATACAAATAATAATTACAAATACACACAATACTACATAGTATGAACAAATACACATAAGAATAATACATAATACACTATACGCGTATTATACAAACATAGAAATGATGGTTATGGAGAAGAATTGTATGAAGATTGTATGGAGAAGAGAAGGAGCAAGAAGACCGAATGATGAACATCAGAGGTAGTGTGTAACATTAGTTTGAGCAAAAGACAACAGCGTCATTTACCACTTGACATGTGTACACCAGGAATGATGCGTACAAACATCCGTACACGCACAACCTCTAGCGTACAACAGACAAAGTGTACGTTCTTACGTAACGTTGTGTGTTTCCACATATCTGTGTTTTTGTATGCGCGATTGTGTATCTGTCAATGCGTGTGTTTGTATCTCTCTGTATCCATTAATGTTTGTATACGTGTGTGTTGTATATCTATTTG